AAGATTGGATAAAAAAAATACAGTGAAGTATCATGAACACAAAGGAAGATGCACCTGTACACAAGAACAACGGAAGATAAAGGCTTGAATAATCTAACATTCATGAAGTAATGATTTAAAATCTCACAGAAAATATTGGGTTATACATTTTTATGATTATAAGGGTTTTTTGATACTTGAGATTGAACCTGGGGCTTTCACACTAAGCTACATTCCCAGCCATTTATAATTTTTTTTTTTTTTTGGGTACCGGGGATCAAACTCTGGTCCTTGTGCTTGTGCAGCAAGCAGCGAAACCACTGAGCTAAATCCCCGGCCCTATAATTTTTATTTTTTAATTTGGGAGGGTCTCACTAAATTGCTTAGGCTGGGCTTAAATCTGTGACCCTCCTGCCTCACCCTTCCGGAGAGCTATAGATAATGCACCACCAAGCCTGGCTTGGGTTATAATTTAACAAATGAAGGTCTTTCAGTCTTTTAATGCCTAGAAATCCTTGTTTTGTAGAATTTTTTTTAAAGACAATTAGAAAAATAAGGACTACTTAATTCATTGTGAGGTCCTCTTAACACCAACATCCAGACCAGACACAGTGGCAGTTTAGAGACCCTTTTTACTAATTAATACAGATTTTAAGAAACCAAAGTATTAGCAAGTCCAAGCCAACAATGTAAAAACCAGAATAATACACAGCTGGATGCAGTGGTACACCCCTGTAGTCAAGCTGTTTGGGAGGCAGGTGGCAGATGAATGGCAGGCACCCAGCCTGGGGAACCTAGTGAAACCCTTCTCCGGTATAAAAATGAAAAAGGCTGGCTGGGCTGTAGCTCACCGCTCCCTGCATTCAATCGCCAGTAATGCCAGCACAAGAATAGGGATAATGCTTAAAGGTCAAGATGGGCTTATCTCAGATGTACAAAGATTTAATAGGAAAACCATAAATGGGAATTTAAATATCACATAAATAGATAAAAAGACAAAAAGATTTATCTCAAGCCAGAAACAGTAGTGCAAACCTATACTGCAAGCACTCAGAGGCTGGGTGGGAGGGTCACTTGAACTCAGGAACTTGGAACCAGCTTGGTCAGCATAGGGAGACTCTATCTCAAAAAGAAAAAAGTAAGATAATAGGTGCAAGAAATGCATTTTGTGATTTAAAGTTTTAAATTTCACGTTGATTTTTAAACTGATAATAAAAGTTATAGTTATGTGATACTTGGAAGCATGCATACATTGTATTTAAAATAAGATTACTCAAACATTTATAACTTCTTTGTGGCAAAACAGTCAAAATCCTAGCCTTTTAAAAAAATTTGCTGTGCTAGGGAGCCAGACGTGCTAGCACATGCCTATAATCCCCAGGACTCAGGAGGCAGAGGCAGGAGGATCTCTGTGAGTTGAGGCCAGCCTGGGCTAAATAGTAAGTTCAGGGCCAACCTGAATCACAATAGTAATGGTTAAGATTCTTAAACTTTTATGCTATTGTGGGGGATTGGTACATACATACTGCATCTTGATCCTTTTTACGGGCCCTCCCGTTACTGTTAATGTTATTATCCGCCATGTTCCTGTGCCATGTTGCCCTAAAGTTGCCAGCTTTAGGTGCCGGGAATATGTTACATATATGTATCACATACACACATGAACAGATATATTTTTGTGCTGTGGATTGAATCCAGGGCCTCATGCATTTTAACGTAACTGACACTGCAAAGGGAACTTCAATAGATTTTTTTTCCTTTGGGGCCAGTGGCTGCTCCAGACGTCCTCAGCCCTAGGGTATAAACTGCAACCGGCACCTCTCAGCTAGAGATGAGAGGACCCATCCAAAGGTGCTGCCCCCGGAGGTGAAGTCTAGTTTCATTCCCTGAGGCGAGAGAGGGAGAGGTCCTGTTGGGAAGGAATGGAGCAAGCCTGGACATGTCCAGGGTTTCCTTGTGTTCTCTCGCTGTTCCACCTGGAAAGACCCCAGCACGCCTATGTGCATGAGATGGCAATTTGAGGCAAATAGGTTTCTCCAGTATAAATTCTTTTTCCTTTGTATCAAGGTAAGTGGCCTTTGGTTTGGCCAGCAACAAGCAAACAAATCTGAGTATGAAATTTAAGTGACCTGTAACACTAACACTGGCATGTATTAACGAACAGGGAAATAAAAATACTCATTTTGAGCTTTTTAAAACGTAATTAAATATAATATATAGTGTATTGGTAAGGATGGTGAAGAAAAAGCAAGGAAAGAGATAGGGAATACTGACGCTTGGAACTTGGGTTTTTAAAAAATGAGTGGTCACAGCTGGACGTGTGCCTGTACTGCCAGCACTCTGGGAATTTGAGGCTGGAAAGTTGCAAGTTTGAGTCCAGCCTGGGCAGTTTAACAACTCTGAAACCCAGTCTCACTATGAAAAAGGTTACTGAACCCTAGGTATCGCCAGAGTGCTGTCTCTGACTGTGGCCAGCAGCCCTAGGTAGCTGTGGGCTGGTGGCTACTCAGCAGAACAGTGGTGGTGGGTTTGGTGTCAGCCTCTTCAGCCCCACCCTCCAAACTGAGGAGTGGAGCCTGGGACCTGAAGGTTCAGTCATCCAGTGCCAGCCAGGCCTGCCCAATGAATCCTCCAAAAAAAGTCCAAAGAGAGTGTTCCTGGGGCTGTGTCCCCAGAGCATGGTCTCCCCACAGGGCATGGAAGCCTCACACCCCTTATCATGTGCATCTCCATCTGGTGTGCATTGTTATCCTCTCATACAGTACTCTTTTTTTTTTTTTTGGTACCGGGGATCAAACTTGGGTCCTTGCGCTTGCAAGGCAGGCGGCGGAACCACTGAGCTAAATCCCTGGCCCTCATACAGTACTCTTATAATAAACCAGAAATGTGTTTCCCCAGGTTCTGTGAGTCTTTAGCAGATTCATCCCACCTGAGGAGGTAAGGGGAATTTATAGCCAGTTGGTCAGAAGCACAGCCTGGGGCTTCCTATTGGTGTTGGAAGTGGAGGACAGTCTTGAGGGACACCCCAGAACCTGTGAGATCAGATGCTATCTCCAGATAGAATTAAAGGATACCCTGGCACAATGCCAGCACTGGAGAGGCTGAAGCAGGAGGATCACTGAGTTCAAGGCCAGGCTGAACTGCATAGTGAGACTTTGTCTCAAAAAAACCAAAAACAAAATTAAAGGATACCCAACCCAGGTGTCTGCAGAATTGGTTGTCATAGGGCCAGGAATTTAGCTCAGTGGTGCCATCGCCTGCCTTGCAATCACAAGGTCCTGAGTTTGATCCCCGGAACCAAAAAAAAATAATAATAATAATTGGTTATACTCTAGGTGGCCACGGATCATAGGTAGAAGTCTTCTTTGTTGATTGTGGAGTGAGAATACAGGAGAAACTGAGTTTACTGTTACGTTCTCTGAGCTGTCCTGCTGTGTTGTGACTTACCTGTAATCTCAGCTATGCAGGAGACTGAGGCAGGAAGATCTCAAATTTGAGGATAGATGGGACAACTAAGCCAGACCCCTGCCTCCCAAAAAAAGAAACATTGCCAGTGGCAGAGTGATTGGCTAGCATGGGCCACGACCTGGGTTCAATTCCCAGTGTTACAAAATGAGAGAGAGAGGAAAAAAGGTATATTGGATTAGTATAGTAATGAAAGTAGTGGAAAGGGGTTAGGTTTTGGATGTCTTCTGGAAGATAAAATTTCAGCATTTATTTATGGCCTGGGTGTGGAATGTAAGAGGTGTGAGTGATGGTGTAAGAGTTATGGCCTTGAGCAACTGGAAGGATAGAATTGGTGTTTACTGAGACAGAGAGGCAGGTTTAAGATCAAGATTGGCTTTATTTTTGTAAGGTTTGAAATACCTTTTAAACCCAGCTTTAGTTGGGTGTGATGGTGCAGTTCTGCAACCCGAGGACTTGGGAGGTTGAGACAGGAGGATCTGTGAGTTTGAGGTCAGCCTGGGCTTCACAGTGAGTTCAAGGCCAGCCTGAGCTGCATATGAGACCCTGTCTCAAAAGAAAAAAAAAAAAGCCAGCTTTAAAGTTGTTAAGTTGTGCTTATATCTTTTGACTTCCTGTTTTGTAGCAAGGGGAAGGATGGGTTAGGGAGGAAGTTATATACTTTGTTGTAGGAAATAACTTCAGAAGAGTAAGGGATCTTGTTACCTTAAGCCAGAGTGTGGGTTTTTCTAGGCTTCTGTCATCCTTTCCCTGACTTAAGTCACATTTTCACGACTGGTAGTTGAATGCCACCTATTTCTTAGAAAAAAGGCTGAGTGAGAGGCAAACTCAAGTTTTCTTGAAATTTTATTTTCCTTCCATTTATATGTGTTTTAGGAGAAGAAGTAGAAAATGAAAACATTGAAGCTTTATTTCAATTTGTGCGGCATCTTTTCCCTGATGATACATGTCTGTCTTGGTTTAATCCCATTCTGTAGGCTTCTGGCTTTAGCTTTGCTCCACTGGAAACCCACATTAACTGTGTTGGAAATGCCGACCCTCACGTTTCTGTGCGCCTTGTCTAGACCAGTGCTAGCACATTGCCCGAGGAGGTTTTCCTGAAGTGCTCATGGACTCTTCACTTGGCTTGAGAATTCTCCAGCTCTGCGCCCTCTTCCAGAGGGTGTTCTTGGGCACCCCCCAGCGGAGGAGATAGCGGATACCGCCTGATTGGTAGCCAGTGGGAAGTAGGAAGGGTGTGGGCGTGACTTTGAGCTGGAAGGTTTACTCATTAACGTCAGTGTGAGGTTGCAGCATGCCCAAACCTGTTGCCAGTTTCAGGCTTCACTTGAGGGAGGAGTAGATGGTTCTTACTTAAGCTGTCCAGGTTTTTGTGAGGTTTTCTAAAAGAGAAAGTGACCATAAGGTATGGAGAGCTTCACCATGGGTGTAGAAAGCTCCGATACATGTTTTACATGTTTTTGCTTTTTTTTTCCTTGTTAAATGCTTTGCAAATGCTAAAGGCAGTTTAGAAGAGATTTTATATATATATATATATGTATTTTTTTTTCTTTTAGTTTTATCAACAGACTGAAGTATCTTCACTGCCAACATGACATCATATTCCACCTCTGCCCAGTGTTCAACGTCAGAGAGCGCTTGCAGGATCTCTCCAGAGCGAATCAGTCAGGTAGATCATTATTGGGCATTCCTGTTTTTCTTCAAATTTTTAAGAAAACTGGCAGCCATGGATAGTAGAGAATTTGGGGCCAGGTTATGTGAATTTGTTTTCTTTTTCATTTGCTGTACTTTCTTCTCTTTAAAAATCAGTTTGTTGGCCCGGGGATTTAGCTCAGTGGTTCCAGCACCTGCCTCGCAAGCGCCAGGTCCCGAGTTCGATCTCCGGCACACACACACACAAAAAGTGAACATTAAAAATCAGTTTGTTGGGCCGGGGATTTAGCTCAGTGGTTCTGCCACCTGCCTCGAAAGCGCAAGGTCCCAAGTTCGATCCCCGGTACCAAAAAATAAAAATAAAAATCAGTTTGTTAAAATTGTAAGTTTATAATTTAAATTTAAATTCGCATTCACTTTAAATGCCTGTAATCCCGGCACTCTGAGAGGGTGAGACAAGAAGGAGTTTGAGCTCCACCTGGGTGATTTAGCAAGACCCTACCTCAAAATTTTATTTTATCTTATTTTTCATTTTTTGGGTTTTTGAGACAGGGTCTTGGTATGTAGTTCAAGCTGACCTTGAACTCACTGTGTAACCAGGCGGGCCTCTCGGCCTCTCAGTGATCTTCCTGCCTCAGCCTCCCAAGTGCTGGGATTACAGGCGTGTGCCACCATGCCCCGCCTTTAGATCCACTTTGATAACACCTGAAGACTTTACATCTATCTCAGTTTTATCCTCAGTAGAAAGTGAAAGATTTCTTTCAGTTGGTTTTCCTGTTGCACTTACTATTAACTTCCTTCTTTGGTCAGTAATCAATCCAGTTGCAGGACTGGAACTTGGTCTTTAAACAAGGACTGTCTGAGTGCCAAGGATTTAGCTCAGTGGTTCCACCACCTGCCTCACAAGTGCAAGGACCCGAGTTTGATCCCCAGTACCAAAAAAACCCCCCACAAAACCCAGGAATGTCTGTATTCTGAAGAACATGAGAAAATTTAAAAATGCAAGATACAAAAGTATATGATGGGTGCCAATAAGCTATCAAGAATATAATAAAATATGATAAATCGAATTAGTATGTGGTTATAGGATGGTAGTGCAGTAAATGGATGGCTTTTTTTCTCCTTGTTTTGGTTTTTCTTTACTTGTGTTACTTTTATAATACAGTTGTCTGAAAATAGAACGAAAGCACCTAGGCTTACGTGGCTAAAAATTCCATAGACTCCACAATCAGAGTCCAATATGGCCAAGATGTATATACCACATTTTGTTTATACATCCACTCACTGATAGACATTTTGATTGCTTCTATCTTTTGGGCTGTTTGGGAATAATGCTGCTGTGAACATTGGTGTACAGATACTTAGTTTAGACCTGGCTTTCAGTTTTTTTCATATACAGCTAGAAATATTATTTGGTAATTGTGTTTAACTTCATGAGAATTGACAAACTATTTCCTGCAGTAGCTGTTCCATTTTACATTTCCATCAGCAGTGCACAAAGGTTCCAATTTTTCTATATCCTCACCTAACACTTTTTTTTCTTTTTCTCTTCTTTTCCTTCCTTTCATTATCTTTCTGTCCTTCTGTCTTTCCAGTCTTTTGATTGAGTCCGGGGCCTTCACACTGAGCTACATATTCAGTCCTTTTTTATTTTTTAATTGAGACAGGACCTTGCTAAGTCACTAAGTTGCCTAGACTGGGCTCAAACTTGTGATCCTTCTACCTTAGCCTCTCACAATGCTGGGATTACAGGCATGTGCCACCATGCCCAAGTAACACTTATTTTCTTTACTCTCAGTACTGAGGATTGAACTCAGGACCTTCTGCTTGTGAGGCAGGCACGGTTCCACTGAGCTACATCCTTGGCTGCAACACTTAATTTTCTTTTTTCTTTTTTTTTTTTTTTTTAACACTTAATTTTCTTAAAAAAAAAAAATTATAGCCATCCTGGTAGGGGTGAATGTACTGTTTATACATTGGAAGATTGTGCTACATCAGGTAATAAGTGTTTCCTAGGATTTTGTTTTAAAGGATTTAAGGAAATTTTCTTGTAGATTTCAGAAACCAATCTAATTGGAAAGTAAATAGCAGATTTATTTTCCATGTTTGTGTCAGGTACGACCAAAACTGCCGCTTTTGAAGATTTTGCAGGCAGCAGGTGCACAAGGTGAAATGTTCACTGTTAAAGAGGTAAGACATCAAAGAAATTCTCAGTTTTAAGTTGAGAAGTAGAAGACAGGAAATACATAGTTCTGAAATCAGTTCTACTGGTAGGGTTTTATGGGGGCAGCTTTTGCTTCGTTTTAGAGACTGTCATGCTAAATTGAACTTCATATTTCCTTTAGAGTTCTTTTTGAAGTGTCTTATAAATGTAAGATTAACAAGGAGTTCATTGATCTTAGAGTTAAAAGGCAAAACATGTGCAATTTAAAAATGACACTGATTTATAAGATATGCAGCCAGGCAGGAATTTGATGCAATGGTGTTTCATTATAAATATGTCTCTTCTGAGGACTGTAAGTTATTTTAAATTCTTATGCATTTAAATAACTTACTTAGCTTATGAAGTTTTTTTAAATTTAGCTTTTAGTGGTTTTTTTTTAAACAAAAACAAATCTAGGGCTGGGGATTTAGCTCAGTGGTTTTGCCTCCTGCCTGCTGCGCAAGCGCAAGGACCCAATCCCCCATACCAAAAACAAAAAACAAAAAAAAACCCCATCTAATTCCTTATGTGGAAAAAACTCAATATTAAAATGTTAATTTCTTGGAACTGTTTGCATTTAGTAGGGTAGATAGCTAGTCCTTCATGAACAGAGGAAACAAAATTTTGCATTTTTTTCCTTTTAAACGAAATGCTACATACCTATCAGTATATTCCATACCTATCACTCCCAAACCATTGTACCTCTCAAGGAAGTAAATCTGGACGCCTTTCACATTTTTTAAAAGAATACCCATGTTTCCATCATTTATTTTATATATTTTGAGGTGCTGGGGATGGAACACAGGGATTTGTGCACATTAGGCAAGTGCTGTACCACTGAGCTACATCCTCATCCCCCCCCCCCTTTATAGTAAGTAGCTACATTAATTGAAGATCATGGGATGGTAGCAAGAAGAGGAAGAAGGGTGAAGGGAAAAAGGATGAAAGGAGGTAAAAAAGGGCCAGCCCCCTTTATTTTAAATTGGGTGTACCATTTTTGGACTGTATTCCTGAAATTCTAGTACTATACATAAGATTTATAAGAACTGTTACTGAAGTATAGATTATTAATACTATTAAGTATTAGGATGAATTGTGCCATTTCCTTCATTTGCATAGCAGAGTTTGCCTATGCTTACAAGATGAATTGTCTTTTTTTAGACCCCTAAAGGGGAATTTGATTTTTTAAAAAAAAATACAGTTCTTATTATGTACATTGAAGTATTGTGATACAGTGAGAATAGTATGATTATGTACTAATTTAGAATAGTGTTTTAGAAGATTCTATTTTAAATACTTGGAGTTGACTTATTTTTTTTTGGAAGTTGGATGGCCATAAAGAATTTCCTCCTTTTTCTTCAGGTAGTGTACCTTTTTTCCAGCTTATTTTCCCTAGCTGATTAGATCTGAGAGTTCAGCTTAAGTCATTAATACTGGGACACGTTTAGGGGGTATGACTAGAAATGTCACCGTTCTAGTTTAATGGGAATCCTGTTAGAAAAATTCTGTACAAGATATTTAGTAATTTCTAAGAAGTTGGGGCCAAATGATAAAGATAGCTGTTTTGGTCTGCTTGTGTGATCTGTGATAAGAACTTAATCAGTAAGTAAGGAAATGGTTTTAGTCTCCTAGCTTTAGAAAAACATTTCTTTTCTGTTGATTTAATTAATTTTATTTATCATAAAATTTACCCAAGTCTGTTGGCGAAAGGCACTAACCTAGGTTACATAATAAAGGCTATATGAGGTGCTTCATCTACATTTTAAAGTTTGAATTGTGAACTTACCTGTGTTCCCTTACATTTTTTGAATTCTACAGTAAAGGCCAAATAGTCTAAGTATTTACTTATTGAATACCTACATTTTCTTTTGTGCACATACAGTGCTGATGGCTTATTAACCATTGTACATTTGCCAAAAAGAAATAAGTGGATATACATCAAAAGCCTGGTTTTGTGCCCCTGGACATGGAAAGTACTTTTTTGGCCCAGGCACATTTAAAGTTTATTACTTCTGGTAATAGAACAGACTCCTTCATTTGAACTGGTAAGAAAAAATTTAAGGGTATACTGCATAAATTTATCACTTTTTTTCATTGTCACATTGTTCATTTCTGGGCTAAAAGTTGGGTCTGTGGATGGCCAAAAAGATGAGTGGGTACACCTAGTGATTTTGTTGTGTGACCCTTCGTACACATCCTTCACTTTCTCTAGCAAGCTGCTTTACTACTTCCTCATAATGAACGTGTGGAGTGGTAGCTGTTGGACAGATGGTTTCATGGTGTTTCATTCCACATAGGTAATGCACTATCTCGGCCAGTATATAATGGTGAAGCAGCTTTATGATCCGCGGGAGCAGCACATGGTATATTGTGGTGGAGATGTTTTGGGAGAACTGTTAGGACGTCAGAGCTTCTCCGTGAAAGATCCAAGGTAAAAAGAGGGACAGATTGTGTATTTCTTTGAGTGCTTTTACCTGCCCACTTAATCTCTCTATGTTATTAATGATTATTCACTGTTCCTTTAGTCAGCAAATAATGACCACATCTATTAGGGTAGTCAGTGAGGCACTGGGAATACAGTAGTGAGCAAACAGTCTGGTTTTACGGAGTGTACACAGTTGTGAGACAGTAGATGGTCTTCCTCATCTCAGTCAGATAATCTTGCTACTACATGTTATGGGGACACTGTGATCAGTGCTCTACAACAGGTACATGAAGTAAGTAGTGTGTGGGAACTTTAGAGTGTGAGGCGACCCTTGAGGAAGTGAAATTTGATCTGAGAGCTGAAGGACCGAGTTGATTGAGGGGCCTAGTTGAAGGAGTGCTTCATATTAAACATCATGCAAAAGTCTGAGTAGGAGGGAGCTTAGTGTTGCTAGGTTAGGATTTTGTAAAGTAGTTGTTAGAGAGCAAGAAAAGTGAACAGATTAGAGAAATGTAGAATTGAAGAGCAGTTTGAGGTTGATGCTGAGCCAAATAATAACAGAAAGTGGGCGTGGTGGTGCCTGTCATCTCAGCACTCAGAAGGCTGAGGCAGGAGGATTACTGAGAGTTTGAGGCCATCCTGGGCTACTTAGTGAGTTCAAGGCCAGCCTGAACTATGTGTTGAGTTCCTGTTTCCAAAAACACCAAAAAAAAAAAAAAAATCATAGTCGAGCTATTCTGACCTAAGTGTGACTTTCTCCAGTTGCAGGGGGTATGTGGTCATTAGTTTATCTAGACAGAGTAGTTAGTAATTAGTAATTGAGAAGCCAGAGTTCTCTTTCTAGCTTAGTAACAACTGCTTTCTTCTCAGCTCATTTGTTTTACATTAAGACTCCCTTCCACTTGGACTCTTCAGTTAAAAGGTTAAATGCTAAAAGCTGAAGGGGTAATTTCCAAAGGCAATCTCCCCACTTGGGTTACTGTTATTAATGAAGTAAAATGTATATATTGATAAGCTCTTTAATGGGACAAAGTATCCTCAAGAGTCTGGACATTCACATCTTAATGTTTAAATAATTAAGAAAAATGTTTTTGAACCAGGAGACTGATGCAGGAGGATTGCTCCACGTTTAGAGCCAGCTGGGCTACATAGTGAGTTCAAAGTCAGCCTGAGCTACAGTGAGACCCTGTCTCGAATCACACCTGCCTCCCACCCGGATTTTGGAGTTGAATGTGGTGGCGCATATCTGTAATCCCAACTACTCTAGTGGCTGAGACAGAGGATTGCAAGTTTGAGGCCAGTTTGGCGAATTTAACAAGACCCTGTGTCAAAATATTTCAAAGCGCTTGGGATGTAGCTCAGTGGTAAAGCACCCGTGCGTTGTATCTTCAGTACTGAGAAAAAATCTGGGAAGAAGATTCTGTCTCTGTACCTGATCAAGTTGAGAGAGTGCATACCAGAAACACATTTAGTATTTAGTAGGAAATAATATCTTCAGAATGGGATTCGGAGTTAATTTTTTATTGTTTCTTTGACAGCCCTCTCTATGATATGCTAAGAAAGAATCTTGTCACTTTAGCCACTGCTACTACAGGTATGTCACATATTTCTTACATCTGTATCACAGCTTTGAGCTTTAGAGGGCAAGTGATGGGCAAGCAAGGAGGATCGAGATGGAAGTGGTGTCTTTGGTGTGGCTGGGCATTCAGACTACCTGTCCTATAGGATGTTACACGTTATTTGACTTTGCACAGTGAAAAATTTCAAACCTTCTGAGCATAGAAAGATGCTTACCTTCTGGAGCTAGCAGTTGTTAACGCTGGCTAGTTGTATTCTCTTCATCTAGATGTAACTTTGAAGTTTCTAACAGATGAGGACTTTCTTCCTTCACACATAACTATAGCATCATAAATATATCCTACAAAGTTAATAACAAAATTAATAATAGTTCCATAATCCTCTTTTTTTTTTTTTTTTTGGTACCGGGGATCAAACTCAGGACCTTGCGCTTGCCAGGCAGGTGTGGTGCCACTAAGCTACATCCCAGGGCCTCCGTAATCCTCTTTGATAAGTCAGTGTATGGTTTGCTTTGTTTTCCCTAGTTATCTAAAAAGTGTTTTTTTTTTTTTTTTTTGGTACTGGGGATTGAACTCAGGACCTTGTGCTTGGGAGGCAGGCGGTGGTACCGCTGAGCTAAATCCCCGGCCCTCTAAAAAGTTTTTTTAAAAAAACTTTTATTTTTGACTTGTTCAAATCAAGATGCAAAGTCCACACATGTTGCATTTGGCTGATAGATCTGATAAGTGTCTTTAATCTGTAAAATTTAATCCTCTTTTTATGTGTGAATGTGTGTGTGTGTGTGTTTGGTTTGGTATAATTAACGCCTTTATTCAATAACAAAACTTTGGTCTTTTAAAAAATAAAATCACATAATTGCTCAGTCATGTAGTATAGTATACAGTATGTCACGATCAAATCAGAGTACTTTGCATAACCATCACCCTGAATGTTTATCAATTCTTTGTGTTGAAAATATTCAAAGTCCTCTCTGAGGTAATTTGGGATATGCAATAAATTTCTAACTATGGTCACTCTGCTATGGTATAGAGCACTCCTTTTGTTTTCATGTCATTTATTTATGGAAGAAATAGATCATTTGTCCTGGAGAGTTTCTCACATTCTTGAGTTGGCAGATTGTATCCTTATAATTATCTAACTCTTCAGCCTCCCTACTTTTGGTAAACTGGTAATGCTTGAGTAGTTTCAAGTTTAAATGCCTTTGTAAATTTGTACTTTATTTCACCACAACGGAGTCATTTTCAGTCTGCCTCTCCCCCCGTCAGTTGTGTTAAGATACGGTGGGCTCAGGTGCTGTAAGTCTGATGCACCTATTATAATGGTTCCCTAGAACCTTTCACCTAATCTGATGCTAATTTGTTTAGTCCTTTTCTTGATTCTAAGCCTTTAAATACTGCCCTTTGAATTTATTCAAATTCAAATTTGAATTTGCTGTGCGCAGGAAACTGGTTGCCTGGAGTCTGTGGCTCCAAGGTAGGGGTGTGGTAGAGATGAGTGAATAAACTAGTTGCAGCTGAAATGTAACTCTTAACTCTCTCTCATTTCCAAATGACACCCCTCCCTCTCACAGGAAGACCTTTCCTTAGCTTCAGATTAGATTGTAGGTCACATTGTCCTTTGGAGAAGGGACACGTATCACTTTAAATTGGCTGTGTTTACTGAAATAGATGGACAAGAATGCATTCCTCGTAAAGATTTATGTAGGTAGGGAAGATTTTGTTCTCATACTGAAACATGATTTTGAGCTTAAATTGCCTATTTTGAGGGGCAGTGCTGGGGATGGAACCTTCTACTGAGATACGTCCCCAAGCCCCCAAACTCGCAATGATTTTTGAAGCCACTCATTTCATTGAGTCATTTGCCTGTGTTACCCACCCTGTGCAGCTGTGAATTTCTGTTTGAGAGGGAAAGCCTTGCAGCTGCTACAGTAGCTTTATTGAAATTCAGTAATTTGTGAAATAATATGGCTTTCCTGGGATAGTTACTGATGGCTTGAAATATATGGAGGATTTTATAATGGCTGATCACTTTCAGTAAAATTTTGTTCTGATTGGCCTGTTCTCTGAACATCTGGAGTGGATGTAATCCTCAACTTTTCCCTCTCATTTTCTTCCTTGTAGTTTCTTTGCAGAATTTAATGTGTCATATGTTATAAAGAGCATTTCTGTAATAAACAGTTTATCCTTACAAAAACCCTGTGAGAAGGGTTGGGAGATGAAGAAACTTTTTTTAATAGAGTAGCTTATTAAATAGCCTGATAGCAGATGCCACTGGTAAGTGGGAGGGCAGAGGTCTCTCACTGCCCAGGCCTCGCTCTGCCTGTTCTGCTGCACACTAGGTCTCTTTCACCTGTGGCTGGAACAGAATTTGCCTCTCCTCATTTTTTGAACATTTTTTTCTCTGAACATTAAATCTTTAAAATATCTGTTTTACTTATTTAATTTACCATTTTGAAAAAAATGTGAATTTAAAAGTTGCAAAAATAGTTTCCTGATGCTCCCCCCCCCCCCCCCCGCAAAATTACAGTTACTAAAAGCGGGACGCTGCTGAAGTAATTTTGGTTGACTATCTGCTCTTACTTGTCCTTGGATTGGTGCTTAAAGCTGGGCGTCTCTATTGAGTTTCACAAATTGGCTCACAGGTACTTTGCTTTATTTGAAAGGACAAATGAGAAAAATGCTTTTCATATGCCCTACCTACACCTTAGTTGAAGACAGTGCCATTGTTCAAATGAAGGTGGTTCTTTCTAAAACGTTTCTCCAAATTTTTCCATGTATACTAATAAAATGAAATAGATACAATAAGCTTTGTTTGTTTGTTTTTTGGTACCGGGGATTGAACTCGATTGAACTCGGGACCTTGTGCTTGCAAGGACGCTTTGTATTTATATTAAAATTTCTTTTTACAGCTGAGCATAGTGGTTTACGCCTGTAATCCTAGTACTTTGGGAGGCTGAGGCAGGAGGAGCTCAAGTTCAAGCCTAGCATGGGCAAACTAGTGACTTAGTGAGACACTGTCTCAAAACAGAAGGGCTGCTAAGGCCCTGGGTTCATTCCCCAAATACTGAAAAAAAAGTTTTCTTTTTATTTGGTAGCTTTCCCAGGTAATTTCTTTTTGCTTCTAATTTTTTTAGCCTAAGTAAGGTAATAAGGCTTTAGTAATATAAGTGGCAGGAGTAGAATTGCTTTTTTAAAGAACTCCTTCACCTGAATTGCATGTTAATTAGTTTGCTTTTAAGACCACTGTGATCAGAAAATACTGTCTGAACTTTTCAGTATCTCAACTTAGTTATAAAAATACTTCTAGAAACTTCTTTACTATTAAAATTTTGCATGTTTGCTTTGTGTAGAACAGCTGAATTGTCAGACTGATTGCTGAGTCTGGTTATTCTCTGGCAATCTTTAATAGATGAAGTTAATGTTTTTTATAAATGTTTTCTCTCGGGACCTGGTAGTGGCTGAGGAACCCAGTCCACAACAGATTTATTTTGGGTGCATTTCACTTACATTGTAGCTTAATATAATGAATGGTTCAGGTCATTAAATCTCTGTAGCTTGTTCTTATCTGAAGCGAAGTGTTTATCTTCTGTCTGCTTGAAGTTTCTAAGTCCTTGAAATGCCCTTCTCTCAGTCTAATGCAGTATCTTAAGAATTTCTCTCAGATTATTTTTTTCTTTGCTTTTTATTGGTCTTGAAAAAAACCTCATCTCCTTTGTCTTTCTGCTTAGGAAATGTTTATAGTCAGACTTTCGCTTAAAAAAATTCAGTCTAGGGCCGGGGAGTTAGCTTAGTGGTTTCGCCGCCTGCTGCACAAGTGCAAGGACCCGAGTTCAATCCCTGGTACAAAAAAAAAAAAAAATTCAGTCTATTACGGTGATGGCAATTTTAGATCATGAAATCATGATTGACACTTAAAATGTAGGTTTGCTTCAGAATGTTACTGTTTTATGAAGCAAGTGAGGGAAAAATCAGATTTTCACATTTTATAATCCAACACTTTTTTTTTTTTTTTTTTTTTTTGTGGTTCAGACTGGCCTTGAACTCACAGTGATCCTCCTGCCTCAGCCTCCTGTGTGCTGGAATTATAGTCATGCGCTGCCATGCCCTGCTTTATAATTTAACACTTAAGGGCCAGGGATTTAACTCAGTGGCACCTCGCTTCCCTCGAAAGTGCAAGGTCCTGAGTTCGATCCCTGGTAACCCCCCAAAAACCATACAATTTAACACTTAAAAATATAAATTAAATTTTTAAAATCAGGTTTTCTGGGCCGGGGATTTAGCTCAGTGGTGCCGCGCCTGCTTTGCAATCTCAAGGTCCTGAGCTCAATCCCTGGTACTGGAAAAAGAAAAAAAAAAAGAAATCAGGCTTTTTGTTGTTTATTAGTTAAGCAAGTTTGATAATATAGAAGGTGGTAAAAATACTTTCCATTATTTCCTGCATGGGACCACTTTTCCTGTGAAAATGTGAAAGGTTGCACGGAGAAGAACATTTTTAATCATTTTCACTTTCCCCAAGATTATATCTTGGCATTGTTTTGAACAGCGCCTGTCTTGGTCTTACAGTTTTGTTTTCCCCTTCTTGCAAATGAGAGCCTTGTCCAGCCAATGCGAAGTCCAGCCGTAGGGACGGAGCCTGGCTGCAGGGTTGTTTGCTGAGGTCCTTTTTTCTGTGGAAAGAACGGTTATTACCAGGGAAGGTTTCCCTTCTGTTTTACTTGCTATCCAGATGCTGCTCAGACTCTCGCTCTCGCACAGGATCACAGTATGGATATTCCAAGTCAAGACCGACCGAAGGTAAAATCACCACACGGTGACTTCATTTGTTGTACAGAGTGGCCCCTTCTCTGTACCTGTGGATCTTGAACTCCCAAGGCTTCCCCCGGTGTGGTAAGAATTTTGTAAGAAAAGTTCTTGGGAGTTCACAGACCAGGGACAGAGTGAACCTTCTCTGTTCTGCCCATAACAGAGCTCCAGTCTCTGAATCTTTCTTTGGGATGTAGCACTTCTGATCTTTAGTTCTACCAGTTGCATTTTCTTTGGGTTTGTGTGTGGCTCTGCATGTGTGTACACGTGTGTGTGAAAGAGAAAGAGCAGTCTTATGTCCAGCTAGGTGTCAGCAAACTGCTTTACGTATTAGATTTTTGTAGGCTTGTTGCAGTTAAGCTTGGGTCACGCCATTTCCTAAAGTTTCCTGAAACCTGGGGAAACTTTATGATCATCTTGGTAGATGTTGAAGGTTTCACATGTTCTCTGCATTGTGCCTAATTTTGTAGTAGGCTGTAGGCTTTATACAGATAGCCTGTTTTTAGGAGTTGATTTTGGCCTTTGTGCAGAGGTTTTTTTCTCCCCCTTAGGTTTGGGTTTCTTCCAGCTCTGCTCATAGTGGGTTGAGGAGAGGTGTTTTGTTGCTTTATTTGATGACTGTTGTGAACTCCAGAGTTCTCTTTCTTGTGCTAAACCCATTGTGTTGCACACTGACTGGTGAGCCAGAGTGGAACTGCTACATCCCCTGGTCTCAGTCATTTCTGTTGCACTGATGGACACCTTTCCCTTCTTTCAGCAAAGTGCACAGGAGGGTTCCAATGCCAGGAAAAGAACCGAAGAAGGTGATGCTCACACACTGCCTACCTCACAACATAAACACAAAAATTCTAGAGGAGGTAAGTTTTGGATTAAGGGTATGTAGACTCTTCTTTCTCTTCTCTTCTCTTTTCTCCTCCCTCCCTAGAAAACTAAAAAAAATAGTGCTGTCTCTGCATCTGCACACCTCTTGCATATGTCACATTTCTTGTTCTTTTCTGAAATTCTTTTTTCTGCTTAGTCAGCATTGTTAATTTGAAGACGGTAGTGTCCGCCTAGTCCATGACTGCTAGGATAGTGCGTGACCCTCCTATTAGCTACTATGCTTAGTTTAAAAGGGCTGCATACTTAGAGCTTATCACTGGTGAGTTTTCTGTATGCATGGATTCAGCTGCCTTGGTTATTTTAATCTTAGTACCCTATATATATTTGACATAGTTAGAATTTTTATCTTGGTTTGTATTTACCTTTTGAGGTAAAGGCTAATTTTTACAGATTTTGGAGTTTGCAAAAAATGACAAAATACACTTAGTATCACAGAGCCAAGAAGAAGGTATAGGAAGCCTACTACTTCTTTTGCCCTCAGCTGGTAGTCACCAGAGCTTTATCATCTTGTTAGGTATAGTATATTGAAGCTAAATGAGTTAACTGATACTTTGGAGGTTTTCCCAAAATCCTACTTTATCTTCTAAAAGTATGCTTTTTTTTTTATGTATAAGATCATAAATTTCCCAAAAGTATTTTATGGTGTGATAGTTTCTAGTCTGGGTACCTGTCTGCTGCTTAGATCAAAGGCAGGTTAGGGGCAACCCACTTTCCAGTCCCCCTTCTGTCTCTCTTAGGCAGAAGCTTTCTTTCTCCCAATAAATTTTTCCTACTCTTTAAAGAAAAAAAAAAAAAAGGCAGGTTAGGCCTCTAACTATATCCCAGAAAGTTATGCTGCTGAAGATGTTTTAAATGTTTAAATTACATTGAAACAGTTTGTCATGCTGGATTGTTTTCTTCAAAGTGCATTTGAACAAAAGCTAAATTTTGGGCTACCTATTCATTTTGAAACTATTACAGTTTGTATGTATGAAATTAAATATGTAATTTTTTAAATTTGAATGCAGGTCTTGCTTATTTTCTGCCTAAAAGGCTGCTTAAAATATAAGAACCAGCAATAAATATAAGAGTAGTCAGTTCAAGCAACCATGTATGTTTGATGGTAATATGAGAATAAATTGTTTAGAATTTTCAGGAAGGTGCATAGATAGACCAGAATTTTTATTTGTGGAAAAATGACCTATTCATTTTCCATTCACAATAAATATAGGGCTTGCATACATCAGTGTAACTTGAATATTATGCCATCTCCAGAATTGACTTTTGGTCATTTTATTGATAAGTAAAAAGATAGTTGAAGTTTCCCTTGGCACAGACAGATACATTTATAATAAGCAGGACCAACATAATTTGTCGGTAGATAAGGTAGCCTTAAGTTGTGGCAAGGACCCATTTATTGCAGAAATCCTTTCAGTCATATGTACCTCAGCACATTTAAATGCTGGTGATTGCCATTGGCAGGCCTGGGGCATTGAGAAGAGGTAAAAGAGAGTGAGAAAGTAGGAAAAGCATAAAGTACAACAAAAAAGACTGGAGGATGAGAAGAAAAAGATTTAGTATGGTAGCAGCAGACTTGTGTTAGTAATTTACTTGGAATATGGGTCACATGTATAGTACAAAAATCTTTTACTTGAAACACATTGGCAGGAGGCTTAATATTTGTGATAGTTCTAGAAACAAAAGATCCCATTGATCTAGAAAGGAGATATGCATATATGAGTGTGTGTGCATGCGCATGCACACGTGGGTGTATTTGGACAACCTACCACATGATTGATAATGATTGTTGCCTACCAAAACATAAATTACTGAGAAATGTCCCGAATAATGTACCAAGAAGAATGCCTTGACAACTGGTTGCCCATTATTGTCTCTACCACCCTGCTTTAATCTCAAGGATGCAGGCTACTGTGCTGTTACTATTTGTACTCCAGTGGATTAAGCCATTGAGTCATACAGTTGTAGGAATGTTTAAAATACCAGTTATTGACCACGTAGAAGTCCTTTTGGAATAATGACAACATTGCTCAGATGGTTTTAGAGTTTAGTGTCTTTGATGAATGAATTACCTACTTCTAGTGTCATTATTTGCTAAGGCAGCCTAAAGAGGAGGAGGCTTGGGCTCTGCCACTAAGACAGATACTTGACTTCTGCTTCATTTTTACTGAGAGTAGGAATTCCTTTTTACCTATCTTATGAAGAGTTTGTAAGTATTAGTTATTTTTGGAGGAGAGCCTTGGTTTTCAAGTGTTATATATGTAGTTATTCTTTTCATTTAACTTCTATAGATGAAGACTTGATAGAAAATTTAACCCAAGATGAGACTTCTAGGCTGGACCTTGGGTTTGAGGAGTGGGATGTAGCTGGCCTGCCTTGGTGGTTTCTAGGAAACTTGAGAAGCAACTACACACCTAGAAGCAATGGCTCAACTGATTTACAGACACATCAGGTAAATTGCACGTTTGAAGGGAAGTGTTTTTGGTTACTCTTGACACATGTTGCATTCTCTGAGTTCTTCCTTATTGCTTTGTCTTTAAATGCTAACTGTACATGTTGGAGGCCCAAATCTATATCTCTGTTCTCTGACCTCTTTTCCCCATATGCCAAAAGTTTCGTATCAGGGTTGCTACTTAGCACCTCCACTTTTAGAGGATTTGATATTTAACATGAACTCTTTTGACTTTTTAAAAACAATTTTGCCAAACACTACTTTCTTAGTCTTTCCTTTTTTGTAAATCTACAGGCTGCCTGGGCCGGGGATTTAGCTCAGTGGTTTCGCCGCCTGCTGTGCAAGCACAAGGACCCAAGTTCGATCCCCGGTACAAAAAAAAAAAAAAAATCTGTGGGGTGCCTAATTATTCCAGCCAAACACAAGGAGATACTGATTTCATAGGCCACTTTTGGATTACCAGCTTTTTATTCAGAATCTGATTATTTTTGCTATTTCTGTCATAACCTAATTCAAGCCATCATTCTTTTTTCATACAGGTATTACAGCAGCCTTACCCAACAATTTTGTTTTTCTTCTTGTTTATCTTGTTGAATCTTTTTGTTTTGTTTTGTTTGGTACCAGGAATAGAACTCGAGTCCTTGTACTTACAAGGCAGGCAGCGGAACCACTGAGCTCAATCCCCGGCCCCTTGGGTGGTCTTTTTGAGATTCGGTATTACTATGTGATTCATGCTGGCCTTGAACTTACTATGTTTGCCAGGCTGGCCTGGAACATGAGATGACCCTCGTGCCTTAGCCTCTCAAGTCCAGGGGTTATAGGTGTGTGCCACCATGCCTGGCAAATTTTTTTTAAATGGGTAATTTACATCACTTCCACATTTCTAGTTGTTCAGTGGGTTCAGAAAGCAAGAAGAATAAAATCTAGACTCTACCATAGCCATAACGGAACCAGCCTCAGCCCACCTCGCCTCCTGTCATTCTTCACTTGCATGCCTTCCAGACACACCAGCCTTCTTTCTGACCCTGTAACCCAAAATTCTTCTCCCCCTCAGGCAACTTAAATCTGTTCTTTCCTCTTTCTGGAACATTCTTCCCCCAAATCCTTTCATTTTCTTCTGTGATTTAGGGTTTGCCTCAGATGTGCTGTCTTTGGAGAGCCTGTCCCTGGCCACTGGTGCTGTCATGCTGTACACTTCCAGTGGGGTCCACCTCTTGTTGTTTGTATCTGCACAGTTACAAGTGGTGGCCTTGCAAAACCATCCCTAATTAAAATAGCCTCCTCTCAGCCACTCTGCTCCTTTATCTTAATCTTTATTCTCTGTTGCACTTTTCATTGTGTAAAAGTATCAGCGTAGTTTGTGTATGTATTTATTGTCCATTTACCCTACTGAAATGTAAGCCCGGGGTTTTTGTTTTATTTACCACTCTGTTCCCTTACCTAGTACCTAGAACAGTTTCTGGCACATTAATGGGCATTTAGTGAGTATTTGTTGAATAAATGAATGGGCATATAACAGTGGCCAAATGATAAGTTGTGTCATGAATGTCTTAGGAATGCATGTCATAAAATGTTCTTAGATAAATGCAGAAAGTCAGTTTTCATACATTTGAAATTGTTTAAAACTTCAGAAAGTGTTGAGGCTAAAGGTTTGGGTTGCCACCAATATTTCTTCAGCAGGCAGTCATTGACCATTAAAAGAGACTGTGTCAGAACTAATGGAATGTTTTCTGGATTTTTAGAGGGCCTCTTGTAGAAAAGAGTACTAAGAGTGAATTCTTAAGGATTAAGAGTCCTTACCCTTTAAAAATTTTTAGTGCTATTTCTGAATTACTATTAAAATAGAAAATTTCCTAGTATGCACAAGATCTTGGCTTCAATTCCCAGTACCAAAAAAAATGAAAAAGAAAATTCTCAGTAGCTAAGTGCCAAGTAGATATCTGCAGAGGAAAGATGAAATGCTCTTTGGAGATGTAATGTGAAGACCATAGTTTTGGGTTCCTTTGTGTTGGTTCAGCATCTCTAATAAGCCACTGACTATAGAAGCTCACATTTGTTTTTCTCTATTAGGATATAGGTACTGCCATTGTTTCAGATACTACAGATGATTTGTGGTTTTTAAATGAGTCAGTATCAGAGCAGTTAGGTGTTGGAATAAAAGTTGAAGCTGCTGATACTGAACAAGCAAGTGAAGAAGTAGGGAAAGTGAGTGACAAAAAGGTACGTTTGGAAACATTTCATGTTCATTGTATTTATGTGTTCATAGTGTAATCTGTTCTGCCTCTTTCTTTGTACAAGTTACATAATGCCCCCTTTTATTTTTAGTCTTTCACTGTGTCCAATTTTAAGCTTTACATTAAGTTAATCAGGGCTGCCTTAGAAGTAAGATAGTTTCATTGTGAAACTCTTTCATTAGAAGCTACAAGCCACACTTTTCCTTACTGTTTATCCAATCTGTTGTGAAGTGTTTCTTTTTTTTCCCTCAAAATCTTGCTTTGTTAAAAAGGCAAGGTTCTGAATTGTCTCAACATTTTCTATAACTAAATGGGAAGATAGATGATTTCTTTCTATCTATTTTACAGTTGAGAGAAAAGAGGGAAATTAGAATTCTTGAGTACAATATACACCAAAATGGAGTCATGACAGGCTGTGTGTTCAAGTCTCAAAAGAAATTGGGAAATAGACCTAGTTCCCAGCACATAGATTTTCAGTAAACAGCCATTGAATAAATATGGGAGGGGTCATGCTTACATTGGGTTGTCTTATTCATCCATCCATTTATGGGATTTACTTAGAAATTTGCGTTGTTTGCTCTATAGCTTGGGTTCTCTTACATTAGTTGGAAGGAAGAAATGCTGGTGGCAGAATAAAGATAAAAGTGACATTTGGAAACTTTTATATATAGAGAGGTAGGGCTTAAAATACTTTTGTGAGAAAGTTGTTAGACAGAGGTTCATAATTGTTTCCTAGTAGTTTTTGTTCCATTTACTGGACTGAAAAATTACAGTTTTAGGTTTTAGAATTTTAAATTCTAAATAGTTCTTGACTTTTTGTTTCCTGAACTATGGATAGGTTTTTATAAGACAACCAGGGTAATAACTAGTTTTACTCTTGAATCCGAAAAGTAAAAGTTTTAAATACTTTGTTTCATTCTTCGAGGTCTTCCTAGATTCCCAAGATGAAAAATTTCTAAATAGTAATTTGTAGCATTTTTATATTGATATTTTTTATTTCCTTTAAAGTTTTAAATTTGGATACTTTTTCCCTTCTGAAGGTAGAGGATACTTGGTAACCCTTCTGGATGCTTTTCAATCATTTGTGCCTCTAAAACACCAACTAAATGTGTACAGAGTCATGTTTCTGGTCTCATATTTAAGCTACCCCATTTTAAATGTTAGTGATGGAGGTAGAATGTGAAGCTGTTTTGTCTTTTTTGGTTTCAGGTAATAGCAGCCTCAGCTAAAACAGATACATTTTAGTAATGAGATGTCTTTGCCTTCACAGATGATTGAAGTGGGAAAAAGTGATGACCTTGAGGACTCCAAGTCCTTAAGTGATGATACTGATGTAGAAGTCACCTCTGAGGTATGAACATCCGGTTAAGGCTTTTTTGCACTGGCCAACTGTATCTTCAGGTGATGTAATCCTAGCAGTTCACTTGTGTTGAGGAATGCCGTTTTTTCCTATTTCTGTCTACCTTTCCTAGCTGATAAGAGATAGCGCATCCTTTACATCTTGTTAGGGGTTTTTGTTGGAATTTGAGAAGAGAAAAGGATAACTTGATCTAACCTTTTTCCTCTCCTCTTGGAAAGATGACTGTAATGGCTCCATGCCCCTGTCATCAGAACTCTTTGGTTTTGATGCAGTGGAGATAACACAGCATTATTCAAAGTACTCCTGTAATATTTTCTCTCACTAAACACCTCTCTGTAATCCCAAGACAGACTTGTAGGCCCTCTAAAATTCTTTGGTGATTATAGAAGTAATTTTGTCAATGCTTTCTTAACAAAGAAGTAAATGGAAGACAGCTTAATTTACACACAGGTTACTGTTAAGGAAGATTTGGTATTCAATGCTTAGATTTATTACAGATTGGCAACTTAAGTCCAGACCCAAGTGTATACTTTGCTTTTTCCCTTTTTATGTTTTTTTCCCATTTCCTTTTAGTACTTTCTATAACTAACCAATTCCAGGAGAAGGGTGGTAGGGCATGGGTAAGGAGGAGACTTTATATTTTGCTGCTTAAGAATAGAAATACTTTTAGGTTGTCCCTGGTATTGATCCTCCCCCATTCCCTCTACACTGCTGTTGACCATCCTAATTCATTGCAAATTACATGGCTGTGCACACTAAGTAATAAAGTATAACATATTGGTCCAGTAAGTGTTCTTGACCATCCGACAAATAGCAGAGATAAATGTTGCCGTCTTAATCAGACTTCTGTGGGTACTTAGGCCCAGAAAACCTATTAAGCAAATAGCCTGTATTTCACTGAATGAAAGATGCCATTGAATTTAATAAGCCCTATTATTTTATGTGCTATTAAAAAAAGAAAAAGTGATGCCATTTAAATTGCAACATATCATCAATTACAAATTCCAGATCTTCATGAAATTCCTTTGAGTATAGCATTTCATATGAGATTAGAGGTTCATAAATTGGCGAGTGTTTGTGACTCTCTGGGGAAGATCCTGGTTCAGCAAATGATTGTATCTTTGCCTCTCAGGCTAGAGTGACAATTGAGTTATGATTTCTTTTTTTTTTTTTTTTTTTTTTTTTGGTACCGGGGATCAAACTCGGGTCCTTGCGCTTGCGCAGCAGGCAGCGAAACCACTGAGCTATCCCCGGCCCTGAGTTACGATTTCTAAACTTGAAGTGCTTGGCCTTTGTCCTGAAAGAAATGAAGTCTGCCTGTGTCAAATCATTGATCCTGTCAAAGCCAGGCAATTACCTGCATTAAATACGCGTGACTTGTTCCAGGTAGCTACCTTTGAATTAAGGCATTTAAAATTTATTGAGTTCTAGTATCGCCTAATTTGAATATTGAGTAGTAGGGGTAAAACTACTTGGAATTCAAGGACAAGGACATTCATTTTTCAGAGGGTGTGATTTAGGCATACAGTTTACCTGTGATCCTCAGAGCAGTGAGAGAAAATGTGCAAAACTAAGTAGTTTCCAAATTTCATTTTAGTTTTAGCTTCCTCTTGGCCAAGTTTTATTATTTGTTAATAGGAAAAAAAGAGAATATTATGTCTCCTTCATTTGTTACCCTCATGCTTCATAACAGCATAAATTATGCATAGAAAAGTGCCCTAAAGAAGGTAACAAGGAAAGCAAACAATAAAAATTTCACCCAAACTGGATGGAAAGCCAAAATAGTTTAGCATTTTTCCTCCTCTCGGTACTGGAGATTAAGCCCAGACCTTTGTGCTGAGATACATCCTTAGCCTTTTAAAAATATTTTTATTTTGAGACAGGATCTTGCTAAGTCTCTCAGGCTGGACTTGAATTTGCAATCCTCTTGCCTCAGCCTCCCCGAGGGCAGGGATTAAGGACTGTGCCACCATACACAACTAGTTTAATTTTCTTTTTTTTTTTTTTGGTACTGGGGATTGAACTCGAGTCCTTGCGCTTGCGCAGCAGGTGGTGAAACCACTGAGCTAAATCTCCAGCCCATAGTTTAACTTTCTTAATAAATAGGTACATCAGACTTTGGCTTGAAAAAGGCAGTTGTGACGCTATCAGTGTACAGCTTCCAAAGACAATCTTCCATGTGGCTATGAATTTGTCCAACTTCTAGGCTAGACCACTGTTAATGGTATGTCTGCCCTGTCACTAGCTCATTGCCATGATGAGGACTTGGCCCAACTTCCCTTCCTCTCAGGGTCATGGTCACCAGTGAGTGTTAATCAGCTGCATTTGTCTTTGTAGGATGAATGGCAGTGTACAGAGTGCAAGAAATTTAACTCTCCAAGCAAGAGGTACTGTTTTCGTTGCTGGGCCTTGAGGAAGGATTGGTATTCTGATTGTTCTAAGTTAACTCATTCTCTCTCCACATCCGATATCACTGCCATACCTGAAAAGACGGAAGATGAAGGAATTGATGTCCCTGATTGCCGAAGAACCATTTCAGCTCCAGTTGTTAGACCTAAAGATGTTCGTGTCAAGGAAGACAATTCCAAACTATTTAATCCTTGCAGCTCAGTGGAATTTTTGGATTTGGCTCACAGTTCTGAAAGCCAAGAGACCATCTCAAGCATGGGAGAACAATCAGATAACATTTTTGAGCAGAAAGTAGAGACAGAAAACATGGAGGATTGCCAGAATATCTTGAAGCCATGTAGCTTATGTGAGAGAAGACCACGAGATGGAAACATTATTCACGGGAGGACAAGCCATCTTACCACCTGCTTTCACTGCGCTAGAAGACTAAAGAAGTCCGGGGCCTCATGTCCTACGTGCCAGAAAGAGATTCAGTTAGTCATTAAGGTTTTTATAGCATAGCTGAATCAATTGGGAAGTACTAGAGGACCAGGTCATGTCTCAAAACATCAGTATTGAGCCTGTTCGCTCAGTATGATCATTCCTCATGTTTATTTATTCATGTAAACATCTGCGTTCTGGGTCACTTTTGCTTATACACTTAGGGAATTTGAGAGTGAGTAGGTTAGAACTAGATCATCAGTTTGGGGACTTCATTAACCTGAAAAGATTCATAAGCTACTTCATTCTCCCTCCAAAGATGAAGGTCTGGGAGGAAACAACTACCAGTATAAACTTAAGTGTATTTATTCATTCACTGAGCAAATTATTTGGAGACTAATTCTTTAGTTGATTTTGTTTCTTCCTCTTAATGTAATTTTCTGGCACTAAAATCCAAGGTAGTTATTAGAAAAATACTGGGGCTAACACTGAAAAAGCAAGTTATCTGATTTGTCAAATTACTAAGTCCTGTGAATCACTTTGTGATATAGTAAGGCTGCTTAGTTCCGATAAACCAAGAAGGAAAATATTTTTGTTTTTTGCTCTTTGCGTGCTGGGATTAAACCCAGGGCCTTGATGTGCTGCATCACTAAGCTGTGTCCTTTATTGTTCTTATAAAAGTCAGGATCTCACTGTGTTAGCCAGGCTGCCTCTCTGTCTTCTGAACAGCTGGGAGTACAGGTTCTTTTTTTTTTTTTGGTACCAGGGCTTGAACTCAGGACCTTGCACTTGTGAGGCAGGCACAACGCCACTGAGCTATATCCCTGGCCCTAGGGACTACAGGTTCTTGTCACCGTGCCCAGCTCAAGAAAAAGAACTCAAAATATAAGAGATTTCTTCCCATGTATGCGTTAGTCAGTGGTTACCAAACAATTTTGTAACATAGCCCTAAAATAATTTTAGAAACTATATTTAGCTTTTTAAAAAAATTTTTTTAAGTAGGCTTCCTATGTATTTCATTTCCAGAAACACCATGATACATTAACCAGTGCCATAGGCCTACACGTGTCAGACCATTCTTATCATTTGTTTTGTTTCTGTGTCCCTTACAAGAATATTGTCCACCTTGCCTTTGATGTTTGAGCACTGACACTTGACCCCTGCCACCCTGGATCCAATTAAACCTATTAAGTAATTGCAACCCCAAGAAAGTATATATTACGTTTTGCACATTAAAAAAAAAATCTAGGTATAGTTAACATATAATGAAGTGTTGCTTTTGGGTGTGTTGGAGAAATCTAAGTAACCGTTCCAAGTTATAGAACGTTCCTGTCTCCCCAAAATAACCCCTGTACCCCTGAGTTTCTAGCAGTCCTTTATTTCATGCCTGTCCTCCTAGATTTCCTTTTGCACATCTTTGATATTTGAGTTTTTTAAATTGAAGTACTTACAAAGGATGTACCATCCAAAATTATGCATTTTATATATGTGCCTTGATCAAACTGGGCATGGCAGCACCTGCCTGTAATCCCAGCACTCCAGGAAGCTGAAACGGTAGGGTCACAAGTTCAAGCCCAGTCTGGGGCAACTTGGTGACAGACATAGAACAGGAAGGGCTGGGAATGTAGCTCAGTGTGAAGGCCTGGGTTCAATCCCCAGTACTACAGGGGAAAAAAAGTCTTGCACCTGTATATTTACTGATTATCAGTAAATTATAGAAAAAGGCTGGTCATATAAACTGGCAGAGTCTATTCTCATTTCAAAATTAATCAGCCAAAATAGACTAAACTTTTGTCAGTATTTCAGTACATGCATAAGCATGGGATTCTTGGCACAGCCTTCTCAGTTACCACTTCTTTTTTTTGTGTGTGTGGTACTAGGGATCGAACTCAGGACTGTGCACTTGCGAGACAGGTGCCGGAACCACTGAGCTAAATTCTCAGCTCTCAGTTACCACTTCTGAAGAGAAGCACAGAATTTTTAACCGAACTCTCCTCTGTTTTTTTGCCCTGAATGTCTGTTGGGAGCCCTCCAGGTGTTTTGGTCTCTGCCTCTGGAGTTCACACTCGAAGGCAGTAGCCTGCAGTAGCATTCAGATGAGTAGTAGGGGTTACAGTGTTTGTGGAAAAGGAAGTAATTAAGATAAATGAATCTGTAATTCTCTTCAGTAATCTTAGGCCACATCAGTTTTAGGAAAGTACAGAAATTGAAGATCTTCAAGTTGATTTCTTTATTGCCATTTATGTCTGCTTAATGCATAGAAGAGTGGTGTATCCCCAGGGGTATGAATTACCTCACTGCAGACAGAGGTCCTAGGAAGTTGGCCTTGAGTTGTAAGAATCTGGGGTTCTTTTTTTCTTCTTTTATATATACAGTTTTTCTAATTTTTATTTTTTATTTTATTATTATTATTATTATTATTATTTTTGTACCAGGGATCAAACTCGGGTCCTTGCACTTGCGCAGCAGGCAGGGAAACCACTGAGCTAAATCCCCGACCTGGGGTTCTTGTTAAAAGTGCCCAAATCCCCAGAAACTGACTGATCCCCACTCTCCAAGGGAGGGCTTTTCTTCCCTACCATTGTAGATCTTCAGCAGAAAGTAGATAGAACTGGATGTCTTCTTATATTTAGTTTCTAGAAGGGAAATTTTCTTAACATTTTCTGAGTTTTAAAACTATAAAGCACTCAATTATTTAGTCCCTCTTTTCACATGAAGCCACATGACACAGCTTAGTGGTAGAGGTATTACTAAAATCCAAGTGTCGTGACCAGTAAATCTTTTATAAATACTTGTTTCTCCCTCCCACTTTTTGTTGTTGGTACTGGGAATTGAACTCAGGACCTTGCGCTTTTTTGTAGTGGTACTGGGGATTGAACCCAGTGCAGTCTCCCTGATCTACATCCACAGCCTTTAAAATTTTTTTTTTTTTTTTTTTGGTACTGAGGATCGAACTGCGGTCCTTCTGCTTTCGAGGCAGGCGTCAGGTGGTGGAACCACTGAGCTAAATCCCTGGCCTGCCTTTTAAGTTTTTTGAGACAAGATCTCACTGGGTTGGCCAGGCTGAGTCTGATCTCAGTCCCCCTGCCTCACCCTCCTAAAGTGGTGGGATAACAGGTGTGTACCATCCTGTTTGTTAGATATTTTAAGATAGGGCTTGTTGAATGTGAGACAACTAAGAAGCTTAAAATACAGCTTTAGGGACTGATTTGTAGCCAAAATGAGACTAGAGAGAACAGTGACTTTTAACACTTTCTCCTAAAAGAGAAGACTGTAAATGTCAGTGTTAGCTAATCAGAACATTTACTCCCACTGTGAGAACAAATAAAGTGATGGAGTGACCTGAACATTGTGTCCTGGTTAGTGAAGCTCAAGCCTGGCTTTTCAGGATATAAGGATAAGTGTTTCCCCCTCATAAGCAAAACTATTCCTTTGACTTAAACTGTGAGAGCACGGTGAATAGTCTAAAATTTTAAAATTAGTTTTTTCCCTATCTCCTTCCTGCAGCACTCTCCTCATAATAGATAGTGTTTTGTTTTTGTTTTTTTTTGATACCGGGGATTGAACTCCCGACCTTGCGCTTTCCAGGCAGGCGGCGGCACCACTGAGCTAAGTCACCTGCCCTTGTTTGATTTTTATTAGGCCCTTTTGTAAGTGATAAACTGGAGTACTGAGAAAATTAGGGAACTGCAGTTATACCTGTGATCCCCTTATGTAAATTTGCAGGGTTTTTTTTATATGTAAGAACTACACATCGTATTTATGTTGGTAGATATGTAATGGTAACGTTGATACATCTTTACCAGCACAGAATCCATGTAGGCCACTCAGCCTTCCTTTTTTTCCTGTTTACTTATCTGAGTTTTTCACTAGCTCTCTTAGTACCAAGTACTTTGCTTAGAAGATGTGAGTGTAAGTTGTTTTGTGCTGCTGGGATATATGTTTGAGCCAAACCTTGTGTTTACCTGCAAGAAACTTCAACCCATCTTCTTACTCTTGTTTTTGTCCATCCCCCAAAGTGGAACACTCCCCCCACACACGCTTTTAAGACTTCACCTTGCTAAGTTGATCAACTGCCCTGGCTGAACTTATGATCCTCCTGCCTCAGCATTTCTGGAATTATAGTCATGTGTCCGCACACCCAGATGGTTTTGTTTTCTTTCAATTCATTTTAATTTTTTTTGGTACCGGGGATCGAACTTGGGACCTTGTGAGGCAGGCAGCTGAACCACTGAGCTAAATCCTCAGCCCTTATTTTGATTTTTTTTGAGACAGGATCTCACTGTGTACTTCAGGTGGGGCTTGAACTCACTATGCAACCCAGGCTGACCTCAAACTTGCGGTGATTCTAGTGTCTCAGCCTCCAGAGTGTTGGGATTACAGGCCTGCGCCATGACCCTCAGCTTTGTTCTTCTTTCATTGTTACCAGGTTACAGATATTTTTATTCTCTCCCACTAAAGCAAGTCACAGTTTGTATGTGAAATCTTTAAGAAGTTTCCTTGTGTAGGGTATACCCCCATTCATCTCTTAGTTGTAATCATGGGAACATAATGCTCTGGTTTTCCAGGGTCCGTGCCAGTTTGCCTCTGCTTTTCAGCACCCTACTCAGTTTATCACCATCTTACTCCTTTTATTTTCAGATGTCTTCATTTTGACATTAATTGTATGGTCACCCTAGTTAGTGGTGAGCCATGCTTGAGTCAAAATCTTGATTGTGAGGAAGTGCTTTTAAAATAGCTGTTGAAGGGCTGGGGATTTAGCTCCGTGGTTCTGCTGCCTGCCTCAAAAGCACAAGGACCCGAGTTTGATCCCTGGTACCAAAAAATAAAAATACATAAATAAAATAGCTGTTGGAGTTCAGCGCTTTCTGCTGCATCATGCCGTAGATTGAATAATGAAATCACACCACATTAGCACTATATTTCTTATTTTAGATATCACTTAGGTTAGTATTTATGATCCTGTTATCTTGGACAAAAGGTTCAGAGCAGAGATGATAAATCATTAGAAAAGTGTTTCCTAGATTACAGCAAAAAGACTCTTGCCTCACACAGTTACTAAGTCATTCTCCTTACAGTGTACTTAACAGTGATTGTATGTTTTGTATTTAGTACTTAAATCGGACTCAAACTGTAGATGAAGCCTTACAACAGGTCTCACCATTTCTCCAGAGTCTGTCTAGGGACAGCCCAGGTTTCCAGTGGCAGCTCGAGCAGTCCATGGGAGTCCAGCCAGGCCAGCCTCCAGTCCGCCACGAGCTTGTGCCAAGTAAACCGACTCACTGCTAAGCATCTGATATAATGGGATTGTGTTTTAGTTACAATTTATTACACTTAGTTGTATGTTGTACTTTGTAGAATATTATTTGGATTGAGGTATTTAAATTTGAAGCTTTCTTATGTGTGCTCATTTGTGCAACATTGGCTTCTTTAAAAAGTCATTCATCCCAAGTTTGATCCCTGGTACCAAAAAAAAAACGTCATTCACGAGAAATGGGTGAATGTTCCTGGGTTCTACAAAGCCATTGTAATGTTAGCTCGGTTCACTTTAGAAAGGAGGAAACTTCACTAACCAGCTGTTTGGTATTTTTATTTTATTTTTTTCTGCAGAGTTATGTGAACTTCTGAAAGTACATAGCTTTAGATACTGTGAATCTGTTGTTTCCATTTAGTCTATTATGGGCTTAAATTGTTGAGACCCACACTCTAGGGAAGAGTTCCTTTTGCTGGTCCCTTGTTTGTGAGGGTGCATGTATGTGCACCCACAGGATCAAGACCAAGACTACTTCTGTGGAAAATGGCTGTAAACTGGGAGCCAGCTGTGTTTAGAATCTGCACTTCAGAGATACAGGAACCTGCAAGCTCTCCCCTGTGCCAAAAGTAAAATGTACAGTGTTTACAAATGTCAGAAAATTTGCACTGCCATAGGGAATGGTGAGGTTACTTTGCTGGAATTTCTCAGATTTATGAGTAGACAGCTGGAGTTTAGCATAGGAGAAGAAATGTTGAGGACCCTAAGCTAAACTGGAAGTGAGCATCTGAGGTAGTGGTTAAGGTGGCTCTGTAGTTTGGTGACAGTTTTCTGATTGTTTTGAGATGTTCTTTCTGTTGGCCCAGCTCAGCTTGTTACCTACCATGGCTGTACCTGCATTCTTCCTTTTCAGGAGTCACTGTGTATCCGGTCCCGTAGGAGAGGGTTAAATGAGTTTGGTTGATGTAATGAATGTGCAATCCAAGGAATGCCATTACTAGTGAATGTGGCATTATTAAAGAAACTATTTTAGCAAACCTACACTTGTGTTTGCTGAGCCTTCATCAGTAGTCTTTTGAATGACTGAAAGTGTTACAGAGAAAGCCGCAGGTCTGCAGGAGGTGGCTAGTATTTCTTGGTAGTCCACTGAGATCCACCGTGCCACATCCCTGGCGATTGTCATTCCTGCACACAGGGTCTTCATTTAATGCCTTCTGGGAGTGCCGCACCACGGCTGGTAGGACCCCCACCGTCACCCCACCCTATTTTTTAAAGTGGAGATGTCAGAGATACCTTAAAAGGGCCAGGTAGCACAATCAGAGCAGTTGCTTTCTTAGACAGTTGCTATAATTTGGCAAATGCTTTATTGAAAATTAACATTGCCATTATATCACTTGAGGATTTGTCAGAGCATTTAATTTCTTATCCAAAGATTTTACTGTGTTTAGAAAACAGTAAGTACTCTGATGTCAACAGATATTTCCCCTTTATTCCTCCCTTACTTTTCCTCATAGGTCCTCTTAGTTCAAAGTTACCTGTTTCTGGATTTTTTGTTGTTGTTGCTTTGGTTTTGGTTTTTTTGAGATAGGCTATTGCTGTGTTGTCCAGGCTGCCCTTGAACTCAGTATGTAGTCCATGTTGGCCTCAAACTCACGGTGATTCTCCTGCCTCAGCCTCCCAGGTGCTGGGATGACAGGTGTGCACCACCATGTGTGCTCCAGCCCTAGACTTCTTAAGTGTTAGCTTTTGTCATTTGAAAATTAGCACCCACACCTGCCTTTTCTACCTCATAGTGTATTGTGGAGATGAGCAATTTTAAAACCTGGAATTGCCTGAAGAAGACACAAGAAGCTGTTGTACTCTTGGTAAAAAGCAAGCTCTGGGTGAATGCTCAGTCCCCTGTGTCCTGGAAGCGGCACCAGTGCTTCTTTATGCCGGCCCAGCAGGGCCAGTGTGGCCTACTGTGACCTTTCATCTGTGCTTCTGGCTCTGTCCTTTCATTAAGGCCTTGCTGGGGATTGAACCCCATACTCTTCACACTAAGCTACATCCCCAGCCCTTTTTAAACATTTTTATGTTTTAAATTTTTGAGACAGGGTCTCACTAAGTCTCTTAAGTTGCTCAGGCCATGCCTGAGCCTGTGATCCTCCTGCCTCAGCCTCGCAGAGTGCAGGGATTACAGCCGTGCACCACCACGGCCAGCTTGCTAAGAAACTTGATTAGAAAAGAGTTGTGCCTCCAGGTGTTCTGAGAGAAGCGTGTGTGAGCTTGGGGAATGGATTCTATCCTGAGAACTGCCTTGCTGTGGTCTGAGTGTACAGAAACCCTTTCTGTGTATACTTGAGTAAGTGCACTGCCAGTACCCAGAACACACGCAGTTTCCACTATTTCTAATGAGAGTCACAGCCAACAGGAGCAGCAAATGAGGTTTCCTGAAGTGGAAAAGAAAAGGCAATTTAAAACGACTTGGAATAGTGGTCCACTTACTAAACAAGGACAGACATTGTCACGTGTGCTCGCATAATTTTCATAAACTCCGCCAAGCCTGTAGCTCTATTTTTGGTGTTTGCACTATGTAATGCTTTCAATGCTTCTTGACTTTATTGTGTTTGTGTATTAAATATTTTTATTTTCATTTTGTGTTGTTGTTATTGGGGAAATACACTATTTTAAGTATAGCTAAATCTCATTTTTTCTGTATCTTTGATCAGATTTGGGGAAATTGTTGGACTTAACAATCAATAGCAACTTTCCCCCAAGTTACCTGTTGGAGTAATTGCTGTGTTTCATTTTTAGGTTCCTAAGTCTAAAGGAAGCCTTTAAATTTTGCAGAGTTTTTTTCCTAACAAGTACCAAAGGCCTCATGTATGCTAGGTAGGATCTACCACTGGGCTATATCCCCAGCACTGTTCAAATTTTTTGAAACGGGATCTCGCTGTGTTGCTTAGGCTGACCTCAAACATGATCATCCTGCCTCAGCCTCCCAAGAAGTTGAGATTACAGACTTGCACAGCCATACCAGCTGTAGAGTTTCTTGTTTTGAGACAGGGTCTCACCATGTAGTTCATGCTCGCCTTGAGCTTTCTGTGTAGCCAGTGTGTGCCACATGCCCGGCTGAAGATTATTTTTTAACATGGAGTTTATTGTGCCTGTGTACCTCGTGTTTGCTAGGATCTGTAGCACTGGCTTTTAGTATATGGGCTGCCGAAGCGAGGATTCTAGCACTGGTTCTCAAACTTTAGAGATTATATTGCTCCCTGCAAAGCTGATAAAATTGATGAAACCTCTTCTTACAGTGTAACATTGCATTCAATTCCAAGGGTTTCCTTAAACCACTGGTCAACGGCCCATGGCCTTCAGGTTCTGCTCCTTGGCGGGTAGCAAAGGAGAGTGAGCAGGCTACAAAGAATGAAATAGGCCCGGGATTTAGCTCAGTGGTGCTGCTGCCTGCCTTGAAAGCGCAAGGTCCCGAGTTCGATCCCTGGTACCAAAAAAGGAATGAAACAGTGCATGTGCTTTTGCAAAGGCCATGCACTGTTAGAGAAAGCCAGTAAGATGATACGGGTCCGTTCTGAGCAGCACTTAGGGCAGGGTTGCCATGTCACGGGCCTGCACTGGTACCATACTGTAAGCTTTTCGGGGTCCCAAACAGCATGCCATGTGAGCCATAATTCCTGAATGTGCGATTAGACCCTGGAGTAGGGCAGGGTGTTACCAGGAATACCAGGGATGGCATTTTAAAAATGGAAACAGGGCTGGGGGTTTAGCTCAGTAGTGCTGACGCCTGCCTCGCAAGCACAAGGACCTGAGTTTGATCCCTGGTACCAAAAAAAAAAGGAAACCAACCAGGTATAGGATTAGAGACGAGATGAGAACAGCTTCTTTCTGTGTAACTTTTCACTTCTCTTTAAGGTACTTTTTTGGTTTTTGAGACAGTCCTGTAGCACAAGCTGACCTTGAACTCATGATCCTGCCTCAGCCCTATGAGCTTGGATTTGGGTGTGCACTGCCGTGCTCTGCTTTTAAGGTGATTCTGACTTTGTAACATTTTGTTTGCTGTCTTTTACATCCTTGCTCACCTTTAGTTCCTGGAGCAGATTTATCCTTGCTGAATGTCCAGAGGCTGGAGGAAGTAAGCTGAAACTAAAAACTGAGTTTACAAACTGTTGTCAATAGACAAATTCCAATCAGTGCCCTTTCCCCCCCTAGAGTTGTATAAATCCAGCCCGTGAAGGTATAAAAAGGTGTTGTTAGACAAATTTCATATTATTACAGGTGTAAGGATATGGGGTCAGTCCTGATGTGTACATCCCCAGCTCTGAGCTCCCTTGATTAATCCTCTTCAAACTAAATGATAGGAGATGAATCTATTCACCGAATGCTTACTAAATGTCAACATGTGCCAGATACTGCTTTGTAGTGGGAATCCAGCATGGTTAAGGGGAGGCTGCCCTCTACTTGCCTACAGTCTTAACAATGCAGTGGTTATGAGGATAGTTTCCACATGGGCCAGGGGAGCAGCAGGTGGAAGAGCACAGCTTGTCTGGGAAGCTTACTCCGTCGAGCTGGAGTGAACCACGTGCACGGAGAAGTGAGGCAAGGTTGGCTGGGGTGGTGCAAAATGAGGTGCAGCATGGTGGTCAGGTGTGTGACATGCCGGGCTAACACGTTCGAATCTTGTGCTGAAGGCAGTGCGGAGCCACGGGAGGTCTCACGAAGGAGAGAGACAGCATCTCATTTGTATTTATGCAAGCTCATGGGGCTGCACTGCCGAGCGGACAGAGTGCTGGCTAAGAGCAGAAGCAAGGAGGACAGTTGGCAGCAATCTGCTTGAGAAATGGTGACGCTCCTGAGGTAATGGTTGGGCGCCTGAGGAGGATAAGAACCTTACTGGTCACTTAAACTAGGCAGACTTATCCCGTGAGGCCTTTAAGACAGAGACCTGTAGAGTGAGAATTGCAGTCAAGTCAGTGATTAACCCCCCAAGTGGACAGATAGGAGCCAAAGCAAGGTGAAAGTTCCGACAGACTTGATAAACGGATGTGAGGGAAAGGAGGTCAAGGCTGGCTTGGGCAATTGGCGGATGGTGGGCGGTAACATTCTTCAGGATTGAGAATGTGGGTAAGTGAGCAAATTGGTGGTGGTGGTAGTGGGAGACAGGAAAGAACGCTGAGTTTTGGGTGTGTTGACTTTGTGGGTATGAGAACATCTGATTGGGAAGGAGCTTGGGAGAGAAGAGGGCTGTGAACATATGCAAAATTGTATTCGCAAACCCAAGAGCCTTAAACTCCAGGAACTCAGAACACTGTCACAGAACACTGACTGTCAAGCTGCAGCAAGCGCCGGCCGGGGCACCTGGCAGCCTTTGAGGCGCACGTCACCCCACCGGGAGGTGCCAGTCAGGTAGGGCGGAGTGAGGCCCAAGCGCCTGCGTCCTCACCGTGTCCGCAGGTGGCGCTGCTGACGCTGGGCTAGGATCCCTGCCCGAGAGCCGCTGCGGAGGCTAAGGCTGAGGTGGAGGGGCAGGAAGAAGGCGTGGGACGTGGTTAGGGCCGGTCACGGAAACATAGTGGGAGTGAGAATGGAGCTTTGTTTTGTTTTAAGGGATTTAGATTTTAATTAAGCAGATACTCCAGGTTATTTCTGCCACATAGAAAATCTTCCAGGAGTGGAGAAAAGGGAGAGGAGAATGAGCACACATTTCAGGTTCAGGGCACGGAGTATAAAAAATATTTAGGTGAAGTGGCCTTATAGACCATGTCTTGATCCCCCTTACCTGACAGTCATGAGGCGATAACAAGATCACACGGGTGGCTAACATGTTTGATCTAAGTAACAAGGTTTCGCTTCCTCTCAGTCTGGATCTCTTTCCTCTTCATCATTGCTGCTAAAAGAATCACTAATGGGAAGTCAACCATGCATTCGAGTTGTAGGAAAGACTTTAAACTTCTTGACTAGAAGGCACATTTGGTGGACATGTGTCTGCTTTTTCTTTTAGTGGGATGGGGATGGGAGGGAGAGGGGTGTCATGAGAATATATATGCACGCGTGTCTGTGTTTGAAACCCCGACCTTCAGTGTTCTGGAATGCTTGGTGCTGGGTTAGTTTTGCTGGTTAGCTGCTTGCTGTGTGAACTGAGGTGATTCATTTGATGTCTCTAAGCCTCAGCCTACAGATCTGTGAAACAGGTGTGCTGGACAAATGAAATAGAGCATGTAAAGTACTTAGTACCTCATATTTCTTCCTCTTCTTGCTAGTATATCAGAGCTGGGGCATTGCAGCTTCCTCAAATACCAATGACCAAACAAATCTCTGGTCGTTGACCAGCGAATGTAACCTTTATCTTCCACCAGAGGGCATCAGTAACCTATAAAATCTAAGGAATGTCCCTTTGCCCTTAAAACAAGATAGTTGAATCTGCCAGAGGATAACCACCTCGCTTCAAATCTTTATTTAAATAATCTTCTGGTGTTTTGAGGGATCATTTGTAATTTTCCTCTAAAATCCAGCAGTAAAACCTTCAGCAAAAGGGCAGATGGTACTCTTTAACTCCACACCAGACAAGAGAATTATATTTCCATTTTTTATTTTGTCCATTTTTACTGTGCGTTCTCCTTCTTGTCAAGACTGTTACCTAGTTACAGATTATTCTGTCAGTGATAACCTATTGAAGTTCCTTTCTTCCTGATTTATTCAGACGAACTGTACTGCTTTTTCTCCTTTTGATGCGCAGCCTCCCTCGCCTCCCCTGGTGTGGCCAGCCACCTTCCAGCAGGCAGCAGGGGGAGGCATCTCTTTCTGAGCCTCAGGCACTGCTCCCTGGATCTTTGTGCTGTGAGTCTAGTGATCCACCAGTGCCCAGCACAAAAGGCTGGGTCTTGGGGAAAAAACTCTAGGGAAAGGGGTCAGAAGGTCAGGCCACTAACCACTCCTACCACAGCCTCCCTCAGAACATCGTGAGCTTCAGGGGAGCTGCTTGACAGCAGTGTGCATCTCTCCTGTGTCTGTCATCAGGTCTTTATTGGTCTTTGTTTTCTAATCTGAGCCCAGATAAAGTTTCAGCACTGGGCCTTGGGATGCCAGCCTAACCAAAACAGCCTGAAGAAAATCAGAAGGGTGTGCCGTGTGTCTCACTGGGAACACTGAACTGTAGAATATTTGAGATGGATGGGACTCCAGAAATCCAGTTCAACCCCTCGTTGTTCAGACAGGAGAGACAACATGACCAGACTCACATAGTTTGATGACAGATAGTTATCTTAGCAGAGTAGAATTCAGTTCTGTGGGCAGACACACTTTATTCTTGCCACACCATTCCATTTTCTACATCAGTCATCATTATTCACATTTGTGTGGTTCATATGTCAAGTAGCTGTTTTGCTTTATCTCATACAATCCACAGAACTCTGATGGAAATGTAGCGTTACATGAATGAAAGGTTATCCCCATTTTACATAGGCATAGAGCAGTTACATAAATGATACAGGACAAAATCAGCAAGCATTCCATTTAAAGCAGTGTCTTCTCCATGAGTTATTGGCATCAAATGGGATGTTTTGCTTGTTTTTCAGTGGACCTGCTTTTCCACAGCAGGGTAATTTAGCATCTCTGCCCCCTAAGCACAGGTTGCCTTGG